ATGTAATGACCGAAGTTGGCAAAAATAAATCTAAATTTAATAATTAGAATAAAATTATTTTAATTTGATATTTTTACAAGCAATTTTACATTACTTTAATTTAAAAAAATAAATGACTAGACACAATAAACGAGAAAATAATTATATTCTAAAAAAATGAGTTGGAACTTAATAGTTTACATCCGCGTGGATATCTATTTTTTTAATATTTTTTTGCACTATATTTAATTCCGCCTTAACGTTTGTGTATTTATATAATTACTCAAAAATCGCCAATCATTAACTTTATACAAAAATTGCCACAAAAAGTAGAAAATTGGAATAAGCTGCTATTATGATAATAATAGTATTCTCGTTATGCCCCGCAAAATGCGCGACAAATTGTAACAATAAAATTATTAAAATGTATTTTTTAAGATGCTAAAGGCGTTGACACTTCACAGTCCATAATCACCTAATTACATATTCATTTATATTTCGATTTAGACTATATACTCTGTAGGAAGGTCGTCATAAACCAATTAACTACTAAATATCCAATGTTTTTAAAATCAAATGAATTTCTTTTTGAGCTTATTTTATGCACTCCATCAAATATTTGTGTATCGTGGCACTCTAACAAAGTGAAATCAGACTATATGGATGGCAATGCCTGTCAATTATTGTGAAACTACAGATATTCGCGAAAAATAATTCGACACGAGATGACTAACCAGTAAACGTATTTGGCATGCAGAGACTATCAAACTCGAAAAAATATCCAAAATCGCTTAGGTTTTTACCCTAATTATCAAATAATTTCAATCATATGTAAACCGAAAACTATTTTGGTAGATATATTAAAATTAAATTCATTTTAATTTAATAATTGTATATAGATTTATTAGTATTAGTAACTGAAAAAACAAACTGTTGCCAATAAAGCGTATACACAATTTCAACTTATAATATATTAAAGTCAAGGCGTTAAAGTAATTCAGTTTATAATTTAACAAATATATGTGTCCGATATAACATTTTCTAAATGCCTTTACAAATAGTTTTCTTATTATAGGCACCTGAAAAGGACCTAAAAAATAACAAAATAAACAAAAACAGCTATCTGCCTAAATATATTTAACACATTAAAAAATTAAAACAAAACTTCAAAATGTAAAAAAAACACGAATAACAAAATATTTGTTATACACCAAAGAAAAAAATTACAAATGATAACAGTACTATTGATTCCCTTCAAAACTTTGTATGTGAATAACGAGCAAAAAACAGGTAAACATTAACTTAAATGAAAAACAGAAACAAAAATGAAAAGAAAAAGTTAGTATTTTTTGTTATATCAAAAAGTAGGCGTGACAAAGTTAAGACTTCTTTGAAATAAAAAAACCATAATTTGGGACAACTCAGGTTCAATTTCCTAAGGCAATCAAAAACTAAAACAGCCAAAAAAAGATCACAAATATTGTGACGAAGTCACTAAATTTTATTTTTAATGAATTTAAAAAATGTATATTTTAATTAATTCCTGTCTGAGGACATGTCCTAGGAATTCGCGTTTTTAAACAATCGCGAGTACCCTCGTAGGTTAAAATATTTCCATATTTTCCAAAATCCGAATGGGCATTTGTAGATTCAATTTCGTATCAATTCTACTTGTATTTATCAAGGTACTAGTAGGACATTTTTTTATTTTTAAATTGTAAACAGTCAGCTGTAGTGGTGGCATCTCCCACTCCGAATTGCCGAGCTTCGAGCTTGCCTGTTGAAAAGGCATAAATAAGATGACAAGTAAACATTTGTTCTCTTTGGCTTCTGACCAGTGTCGTCTCTCCTTCTCATCAGTAATTACCGTGCCTGTAGAAGTTTGTTAGTTCCCAAGTGTATCAATGACCGAATTATTCCTGTTTTCCAAGATAGGAAATTATCTTATTCTCATTTTATAATTAGTTTGGGACATCCGTTCAAGAAGCGTAAGAATTTTGATTCATATTCAGTGTTTTCATTTCATCCCTCAATGGGAAACCGTTGGCAATTTTTATTTGAGGCTGAATTGAGGCTTGATGTAGGAGTGCTCTCAATTTCGACGACTCTATCCAATCTCTTTTAAGAAACGCTTAACGCTGGAGTGAGAGGTTCAACCAGATTTCGTTATTTTTTTATCATTGGGGAAGCCGCCTAATTTATTTTATTTTCGGAGGTTTGATTTGTTCTTGAGTTATGAGGGCTCTCAATCTCGACGAAGCTATCTAGTTTCCTTAAAAGAGGTCTAAATTAATTACCGCACTTCACTTCACCTAATTTTTTTTATTATTTTATTTAATTTTATTTAAATCATTGCATTTCTCGTCACCAACTAATTTTTAAACGAAGCCCGACCTTTTTTGTTTTCTGAATCGAAAACACCGCTTTGATCGACAATAGCAAATCTCCAAAGGATTTGTTGTCCGAATTTTGGGTCCTTCATCATATAATTTCGCCTCGAAGTCGTGGTAAACTTCATTTTTCAAATATAGGGAGTATCGTAGCTACCCGTTTTCTTTTATTTTGGAGCTTCTCAATTGGTCAGCCGTATTATTAAAATTAATTACTCCGTTTTAATTAATTACCGTTTATCATTTTGACCAGAATATTTAATTTAAGTTTTGTTTATTGGGAAAATATATTTTCTGTATATAGTAAGGTACATAATTTCCGGTTTCATTATTTTCCGGTATTATAAAAATATGCATTTTAGAAAAAAAAGTTTCACACAAAAGTTTTATAGTTTTTTGGGGGAAACATTTTGGCTAAATTCATTTTTTTATAGCTGACCATAATATGGCCATATCGAGGTGGCCTTTGTTTTTTTAAATAGGAACCCCATTTTTTTTTAAGTACATAAAAAAATAAAAAACTTTTGATGGAAATATTTTTTTTATTGGACTACTTGAAAATTTTGCTAGGCGAAAAAAAAGTTGACCATATTATGGTTAGCTATAAAAAATAGGGGAAACATTTTGGCTAAATTCATTTTTTTATAGCTGACCATAATATGGTCATATCGAGGAGGACTTTGTTTTTTTAAATAGGAACCCCATTTTTTTTAAAGTACATAAAAAAATAAAAAACTTTTGATGGAAATATTTTTTTTATTGGACTACTTGAAAATTTTGCTAGGCGAAAAAAAAGTTGACCATATTATGATTAGCTATAAAAAATGATTTTAGCCAAAAAATTTTCTCTAAAAAACTATAAAACTTTCCTCTGAAACGTATTCTTTATAAAAGGCCACTGAGTTTATCTTGAGTACACTCTGGTGTACTACAGGGTCGCGGAGCAACCCATATTTTGAAATTACCATCTTAGCGCCACAAAGACTTCCTGATTCACTGTAGGTGAATCAAAGGCTTGTCACAATATGCAGGTATTAAATATAGGAACTAGAAATGGCACTATATGTATCTTGTTCGATGTCTTTACAAATACTTTATAGGCACCTGAAACGGACCTGAAAAATAAGAAAAAAACAAAAAACAGCTACTTTCTTAAATATATTTAACACGATAAAAAAATGAGAACAAAACTTGAGGTATGTAAAATAAAAAAAGTATGTATAACAAAAATATCTGTTAGGTCTAAAATATACTCAAAAAAATTCACAAATGCTAGCCGGGCAATTGGTTCCCTTTAATACTTTGTATGTGAATAAACGACTAGAAAACAAGTATAAGAAATAACAAATTTTTATATATTTATCACATACGCATAATAAAATTCATCACTATACAAGAAAAAACACGAGAAAAACTGTTAAACACAAACACAAACACACACAGACATCATCGCGAAAATAGTTAAAACGGATTCAGGGGTCGAAAAAATACTCTTATACTTTCTTTACCTGTATACAGACAAACACAGTTCTTTTTTCGGAAAGGGTAAAATCAAACCCATTCAAATATTAACAAAATCAATTGCTGTAACTGAAATAAGACCAGTTTTTTATGATCCTTAGACTAATGGATAGATTTTTGGAAAAAAACAAATATTCTCATAAATGGTTCGAGGGAAACCAACCACCAAAAGAATAAAATTATATAATTTTAAATCTAGAAGACGACGCATTTCGCAAAAGATATAGTGCCATTTATTAAAATATAAACCTTGACTTTAAAACAGTATTAGATAAGTTGAAATTGTGTGTATGCTTCACTAAGTTTGTTTTTTCAGTTACTAATACTAATATATTTATATATTTAATTTTAAATAGTATTCTCTGCAGTGACACTTTTACAATCACTAATTATTTACTATATCTACGAAAATAATTTTCGTCTCACACTTCACTGAAATCAGTTGCTAATTTCTACTTGGTTGATGCAATAGTTTGCTAAATAAAAAAAATTCTATTAAAGTACATACATTAAATATTTAATTAGACATGACCTGGGATACAAAAATAAGCGATTTTGAATTTTTTCGAAAATTTTGTAACGAGTTTAATAACCTCTGCGTTCCAAATGCTGCTAGATTTTCTCTGCCTTCTAGGTTTTAAAATAAGTATTTGATAGCAAAAAAATAATAGCTATAGTTTGCTCATAACACTTTATGTTTACTGGTTAGCCATCTCGGGTCGAATTATTTTTTGCGAAAATTCGTACAAGCCTTCTCTCCCAAAACGCTTCCGATTTTTTTCTGCTTTTGCATTTTTAAAATCAACATTAAATAAAGAAAAAAATAAGCCATGGTTTGTCCATGAAACTGGATGTTTACTATTTAGTCAACTCGTGTCAAATTGTACAGGCCTTCCCCGAGTTTAAATGACCAAGTAGGGACGGCAGAGTTTTTAATATAGGTATTTTGGATGTTATCCTAATATTAAACCTTCTGTAATAACTAACTTGCTGACTAATTTTGTTCGGCGCCTTCCAGTATATTGAGTTTTCTTGTTAAAACGGTAGGAATGCTTACTTTCTCTTTTTTACCTATTATTACTATTAAATTTTTACAGAACACAGTCTTACCATCCAAAACCATTTTTTCATGATTAATTAAATAATAAACATTTTTTTACTGAAATAAATTTATTTAAATTCATTTTCAATATACAATAGAAGTCACATATACATCACAAATGGTGCTAAGAAGTTTTAAAATCGCAATGAGTGGTGCAATAAGAGTAAATTTCAGAAAAATGTCAATATTAAGAGCACCTCGTAAATCGAAAATTTCACCGCAGCTTTGATTTTAAATTAATTTTTAATCAACGCCGAAAAACTACTATTGTAGACCAATTTTGTTTACAAAAGGCGAATTGCAAGCATTCACGTTACTATTCAACATGGTTGCCAAATTAAATATTACGAGAGAGTCTAAATACAAGGATTATTTGTGGTTATAATTCGGAATGTACTTAATACAAGGCTCTAAAATTCAAAAAAAGGCTTTCAAAATTACAATCAGGAAATAAGTCTTAATCTCAGTTTTTATCAGTCTGATGTATTTTCTAGTTGCAACTATTGTAGTTGAAGGTAATTTCCAGGAAAGTACGCAATTTATTTCGTAGTGTAAAACGTAAGTGATGATTCATTCATAAAGCGTGTGCTATCTAAGATCATCCCTACTCAATTTGGTGGGCGGCTCGCTTTTTCTGATGCGGCAGTTGAGGCGACCAGTCTACATATCTAACATAAAATCCAAATTGAATACTTGCAAATAAACAAATACTTATTTATGAATGAAAGGATTAATCTAGTAGTTGTTCGTCGTTGTTTTTAATAGTTTTAAATTGCAGATCCAAAACAATTTAAGCCATATAATATTAAATACCAGGTATTTTTTATAATATATTATATAAATACATTTAGCTTAACAAAATAGTCATATTAAACATATACCTGCTGGAAAAAAATACAAAAATATACACTTACTAGTTTCAATCGTTTTTTTTGCAAATAGGAAGGAAAATATAATATGTCATATCAAAACCCCACAACATATATGTAAGCCTAATTTAAGTAAATAAATATGGCTGTTATTTATTTACTATAGATTTATAATTAAAATATTTTTTTAACTGATCTTATTATTTACATAAATTTTCAACATTTCGGGAACAAGTTGGTCTAGTTCTATATTTTCATACTACATAAGATAATATAATGTATTATAATTTACAGAGGATAAGTGGAATATTTATTTATTATTATTATTATTATTATTATTATTATTATTATTATTATTATTATTATTATTATTATTATTATTAATCAATTTGTAGATATATTATTCATCAATCGCATAAAAGATGCGACCGCACATATAACATCAAACCGCCGTACCTAATTGTAAACTATAACAACAAATTTTTATTCATTGCTTTGACTTTGACTAAAGAACTACTGCTAATTTCCCCTCTTGGCCACTTTTCGCTGTTAGTACTTTGCCGCTTGAGACAGAAAGTTGACCGCGAAACACGTATCAGGCGCGGCGATCTGTTGAAACTGGTAACGAACTTTTTGCTCAAAATTCACACATTTTTTCTACGACCACATTTTAAGAAAGATTAAAAACTGAAAATTGGTCGTTAGTAGTATAGTATAGTCTGTTGTCTATATCTACTTTAATCATGAAAGGAGCTCATATTCAAAGGCTATGTTAACTTGGATAATAAAACAAAAAAAATTGTAACTACAAATAACTTAAAAATTAAATAAAAAGAAATATTTTACTATACCTATTTTAAATTAGGCTAGCACCACATCTCTCATTTAATGTCAGTTCGCGAAAAATGTCAACTTTGCGGTTGAATTTCGAAGCGCAAAAGCCTACTTTGGATAGTGATTGAAGAAAAAATATATCGTCAGTAAACTGGTAAATTGTAAATTGTGCGTTCATTACGGTTTTGAGAAAAACGATTTTAAAAGTAAATAATTACCCGGAAATTTTCCATCTAATTTCTCCTGAGTAAATTTCAAAAAGAATGTATGGTTGGAAATGCATCCAAATATTTCATTAATAGGTACATCAGGCCAGCCCCGAGTTCTGCATCAAACCAATCAATCAACTAATAAATTAATAAATAAACAATTAATCTATTAAATCATCAATATTAATTTAAATATTAATCGAAATATAAAAATAAACCAGCACCATCCCTCTCTTAAATTAATTTAAGATTAATAAATCGCTATACATCTATCTCTTTATCTCTCTCTCTCGCATGCATAAGCAACTAACGGTTTGAATTTAAATATAATTGTAATTTATGACGTAACATTGTCCAGAGTTAGGAAGGTCACATGACCAAGCTTCGAGATTGTTCCGACAACTGTTAGAGAAGAGAGAGAAAAAGAATGACGCAAGTTTAGAGCAGAAGCATATTTCTGTTCACAAACAAAAATAAGAAATTTCAATCATGCCCTTTTGCACCATCGCGCTTGTAGACTTTTTTCTTTTTAATGCAAACAGCAAGTTAATAGTTTCGGTGCAAATTCGTACGTAATGCTGAAACGTATTCTTGTTAGTTAAAGATTTTTGTTTATTGAATTTAAAATGGTTTTAAAGTTAATACACTGTGATAACATATGAACTTTGAATTGGCATGCATTACCGTTTCGATGATGGTGGGTGAGGTTTTCCGGGTTTTCCTCACCTGTAAGTCAAATGGCACCATCAATCATCTTTAACTCGCCCCGGAGCGCCACGGCAAATAATAATAATAGCCGTCCCGTTCCCCGCACAAGTTCAGCTTTTGGGTTTAAAATTCACTCGTAAGGGGATGAATTAGGGAGAGTATTATTATTATTATTATTATTATTTTTTTTTTTTTTGTTCGGTGTCATCGGCGTCGACTACTACGGCCATTAGCCTCGTGTTCTGTGTAGGCTTTGTTACTGTTTCCCAGCGCCACTTTAGGAACAGCACTGTTAATTAGAACCCATAATAATAATAATAATAATAATAATAATAATAATAATAATAATAATAATAATAATAATAATAATAATAATAATAATAATAATAATAATAATAATAATAATAATAATAATAATAATAATAATAATAATAATAATAATAATAATAATAATAATAATAATAATAATAATAATAATAATAATAATAATAATAATAATAATAATAATAATAATAATAATAATAATAATAATAATAATAATAATAATAATAATAATAATAATAATAATAATAATAATAATAATAATAATAATAATAATAATAATAATAATAATAATAATAATAATAATAATAATAATAATAATAATAATAATAATAATAATAATAATAATAATAATAATAATAATAATAATAATAATTTTCAATAATAATAATATTTTTTTTAATTTGGTGTCTTCGGCGTCGACTACTACGGCCATTAGCCTCGTGTTCTGAAATTATTATCATTATTATTATTACAACAATCATAAAAATTTAAAAGTTATATCTAATGTCTAAATAAGAGCAATCGTTATTTTTTGGATTCGAATAACAATGGTTGAACATTAATAGCAAGAAATGTTGTTGTATGCATATTGCATATAGAATAAATAGTATTAAAAATAATGTTTGCACGCGATATAGGCATATTTATCATCCCTTGCATATTCGTATAATATTAAATATTATTTACTACTTATAAAAATCACACATTTATTTGGCAACGAGAATTTGTATATATAAATCTTTGGTAAATATTTATTCTTTTTTTTATACTATATAACATTTGTCACGAACCTATATTATTTATAAGGTGTTTACTTATATTTTAACCTAGATATTTAATACAAATAATATATTTTTTACCATATCAAAATTTATTCATTTCCTAGTTACTTCAAAGTTCTTATTGAAATTGGATCAATCTGTATAATTTTCCATAATTTTCCATAATTTTCCATAATTTTCCATAATTTTCCATAATTTTCCATAATTTTCCATAATTTTCCATAATTTTCCATAATTTTCCATAATTTTCCATAATTTTCCATAATTTTCCATAATTTTCCATAATTTTCCATAATTTTCCATAATTTTCCATAATTTTCCATAATTTTCCATAATTTTCCATAATTTTCCATAATTTTCCATAATTTTCCATAATTTTCCATAATTTTCCATAATTTTCCATAATTTTCCATAATTTTTCATAATTTTCCATAATTTTCCATAATTTTCCATAATTTTCCATAATTTTCCATAATTTTCCATAATTTTTCATAATTTTCCATAATTTTCCATAATTTTCCATAATTTTCCATAATTTTCCATAATTTTCCATAATTTTCCATAATTTTCCATAATTTTCTATAATTTTCCATAATTTTCCATAATTTTCCATAATTTTCCATAATTTTCCATAATTTTCCATAATTTTCCATAATTTTCCATAATTTTCCATAATTTTCCATAATTTTCCATAATTTTCCATAATTTTCCATAATTTTCCATAATTTTCCATAATTTTCCATAATTTTCCATAATTGTGTTGTGTTTTCAGTACCCAATGAAATTGATTTTCGTAACATTTTGTTACTATAAGCGCAGGTGGCAGAGGTGTATTCTTAAGAAGTTACCTAAATATTTTAAGGTTAACGTTAAAATGAAATGCGATAGTTGTTATTGTTAGGATTCAGTATAGCAGGGACAGAAGTTGGAAAGGCTTTTCGCAGTTCTCCCACTTCATTCACATAAATTGACAGTTTTGCGGCGGAGCTAGCCAAAGTGGACGCAATACATTGGCGTACAAAATTATTTTATAAATGTTAATATCAATTTCGGGTAAATAGTTTAATATATTGTGAAAGGCTGTTGAAATTTTGTAGGATTATGATTTGGATATTATAATACTTGTTTAATAATTATTTCTAGTCCATAAATTCACGCGATTGTCCGGTTCCCCAGTAACAATTTAAAATTACTTATTCTATGAAATGACACTGGCAGGTAAACATTACCGCCAAATTCTCGAAGCCGTCCGACGTGGTTTGACGTTTATCTCCTCTCTGTCTACCAAAAATCTT